AGATTTAATATTCATCCTTCTCAAACTATTCAAAAAAGTTCAAGATGATGAGACATTTTCTAACTCCTTCTATGAGGCCTACATTATCCTGACACCAAGACCAGACAAGGACAACTCAAAGAAGGAAAATTACAGGCCAATATCATTGATGAACACAGATGCAAAAATCCTCAACAAAATATTGGCAGATCAAATAGAATAATATGTTAAAAGGATCATAGAGCAGGATTAAGTGGGATTTATACCAGGGATGCAGAGATGGTTTCACATCCACAAATCAACCAATGTGATACACCAGATGAAAAAAATGAGGAAGAAAAATCACATGATCATCTCAATAGGTGCAGTGAAAGCATTTGGCAAGATTCAGTACCCATTTATGATAAAAACTCTGAATAAAATGGGTATAGAAGGAAAATGCCTCAACATAATAAAGGCCATATATGACAAACCCACAGGCAACATCATATGTAACAGTGAAAAACTGAAAACCATCCCTTTAAGAACAGGAACAAGAGAAGAGTGCCCACTCTCGCCACTCCTATTCAACATAGTACTGGAGGTTTTGGCCAGAGCAACTAGGCAAGAAAAAGAAATAAAAGGAATCCAAGTTGGAAAGGAAGAATTGAAACTCTGGCTGTTTGTGGACATATGATTCTATATATAGAAAACCCTAAAGAATCCACCTGAAAGCTATTAGAAATAATCAACAACTACAGTAAAGTTGCAGGGTACAAAGTGAACTTAGAAAAATCAGTTGCATTTCTATACACTAATAACAAAGTATCAGAAAGAGAGGTCAAGAATATAATCCCATTTATAATTGCAACAAAAAGAATAAAATATCTAGGAATAAATTTAACCAAGCAGATGAAAGACCTATACACTGCAAAGTATAAGACATTAAAAGAAATCTATAAATAATACTTCTACACAAACTCTTAACTTTATTCTTTGAGGCCAGCATTACCTGCATACCAAAACCAGTCAAAGACATTACAAGAAAACTACAAACTAATATTCCTCATGAACATAGACGCTAAAATTCAAAACCAATATTTTAGCAAATCCAACACATAAAAAGGAAAATACATCATTATTACTTTAAGTTTATCCCAAGAATTCAAGGCTGGTTTAACACACAAAAATCAATGTAATTTACCACATTAACAAACTGAGAAAAGAAAAACCATACAATAATCTCAACAGACACAGAAAAAGCATTTGGCAACATCCATTCCTGATAAAAACTGTCAGCAAAATAGTAATAGAAGGGAACTTCCTCAACTTGATAAATGGCATCTACGAAAGACCTACAGCTTATGAGTGGAAGACAATGTTTTCCCTCTCCCTCTCACTAGTAAGACTGGACACAGAAATTTGGGAAGTTTTGTTTTGGACTTGTTGATTTGGTCCAATACACCATTGAACATCTAACTGGGGATGTACAGAGTAATATGGATCTGGAGCTCAGAAGAGAGCTGTCAGGACCTAGAGCCTATTAAGGGTATTTTTAAACATGTGCCCCAGGGAAATATAGGTAAAGAGTAAGATGAGAAGAGGGTTAGGAATGGAAATACTGAAGAAAACCAATACTTAAGCCTCCTCCTGTAGGACAGATTTAGAAAGAGGCGAGAAAAGGTGACCAAGAACAATCCTAGAAGTGAAAAGACACCTCTATGATGTACTGTAAGGGAAATCCAGTTTCAAAAAGGAGGAGTCAGTAGAGTCAAAGCTTGCAGAAGAAGATAAGGTATAAGGATTCAGGTACATGCTGATATTTTTAGCCATAACCACAAGTGACCACTAGAATATATTTAAACTAGGCGTTATCTAATAGAGATGTGGTTCAGCCAGTCCTTAATGCTGGAACATTCCATTCCATTGCATTACAGGTGGATGTTGATCCAAGCTGAGGCTCTCCTATTGGTTATGTCGACGCAAATAATTGATAACCAATGTATAAATCAAAATTGGGTTGAATCTATTAAGAGCCAGGTCTCAGGACCATATAACCCAGAAGAGTTCTTTCACAAAGGAAGGGAACACTAAACAAGTGAGGTGTCCGGAGTGGTTATATATCGTGGAAGAGCATGTCTCACATATGATTGGAATGTCCCTTTTACAATAGTCAGGAGATTGCTTGGCTGGCACAGCATTTCCGTGAAAGAGGTCTCAAGCTGGGTGAACACAGCAGGTCGGCAATCAATCCCTAGCCTAGGGAGAGAGGCTTATCTTAAGGAAATGCCAATGTAGGGGAAGTTACATCCTTATCTTTAGGGGCATTGTTCTTGTCTTTGGGACATGGTAAATACTTAAAGTAGATATACACTCCATGCTGAACAGCCATGTCAGGCCATTTTGAAAAAACAAGTTCAGGCCAAACTAGTTTTACACCAAATGGCTTCCTCATATAGTCCAATATATATCCTATTGCTCATCATTTATTTATCGGTTACTACACTGTTCTCTGGGTTGTTCATACAGAACTACCAAGAGAACTCAGTATCCATGGCTTTAGAAATTTCATGCACCCATTTTTCAGCTCAAAAAAGGCTAAGTGAAATACTTTCGATGAGTCAGAAGCCCACTAGGAACTTTTGTTCCTGTATTTCAACAATAAACTATCTATGCTTTCCCAGAGCAGGTATCCCTCACCTGGTAAACTGAGGGCCAGAGGCACATTACCTCTCAGAGCCTCAATTTTCCCATTAGTAGAAAGTAGGTGACAAGAGATTTTCACATATTGAGGTATACGGGGTAACTATTCAAGTTCAAAACTGATTGGGCTTGAACTAAAAAGCCTGGGTTACAGCCTATCAAACATACATTGTACATCTGCTTAACCATGAAAGTAAAGAATGCACTCTTAAAAGAATGCATAGTTATCCCCCTATGCCCTATTGGTAATGCCCAGATTAGTCCCTTTCCCAACACCATGGTCGTTGACCTGTCAGTTTCCAACTGAATACTTGAAAATATCTTCCGGGTGCGTTTAATGTATCTTCTTTGTTCTAAAAAGATATGCGACTATACTGGAACCCACGCTTCTCCGGACCGCCTTCCAAGGCCTTCCTGGGTTATAATCCTCACTCTGGCTCATAATAAACTCAGCCCGATTTTGATTTATAGGTTGGCTATCGATTATTTGCATCCACATGGGTAAGAACATCGACACTGCATCAGTACTTTCAGGGGATGGGTCAGAGCAAATGAGTTGCTGGCAGACAGGGTTGGACTAGCGCCTGAGTCCCAGCGCGGGCTCAGCAGACGTGGGCTTCACGGCAGTAACTGAACATTGGTTAAAAAGCTGTTAAGTGGAAGCCGTTCCAAGTGTTATTTATTCCCCAACCCGACTCAGGCCCCCAGGTGACCAAGCTCAAAGTAATACCTCGTCTCCACCGGGGCCAAGGAGCAGCTGCCAGGAGTGCGGCCCCTCCCCACAAACAATCCGAACAAACACAGTCTGCTGTGCACACAGAGCGGCACCACCAGTCCCGCGACCCGCTTCCAGACTGCCCTCCCGACCCACGCCTTCCGGGGACTCTGCGCCCGCGGCAGGACTTCCGAGGGACCCGAGCGATCAAATCGCACTGACGTCTGTCACCGCGACACTCCTCACGGCAGCCTCGCCTAGCCCGTGTCCCGCAGCCCGGCACGAGGCCGCGCCCGCGCCTGAGACGTCCCCACAGCCCAGCTTTCGGAGACCTCGCCCTGGGCGCCGCTGCCTGCCGCAGCCGCCAGAAGATGCAGGCCGCCCGCCCGACCGCAAGCTGGCCGGGGCCTGCGTTCTGCTCCGGGGAGAGAGCGCCTCTTCCCGTGGGCGGGCCGAACGGGGCGGGGGCGGGGCCGGGCGCCGTGGGCTCCTCCTCTCGCGGGACCGGGCTCCTCCTCTCGCGGGACCGGGGCGGGGCCGACCGGCGGCGGGGGCGGGGCCGGGCGCTGCGGGCTCCTCCTCTCGCGGGACCGGGCTGGGCGGCGGGGCGGGGCCGGCAGCGGGCCCCACCCCGAGGCGGTGTACTGGGCGCGGTGGCGTCCACAGCTCGGCTGCCTCGCCGCACAGCTCTGGCTCCGCCCAGCGGCCGCCCGGGGCGGAAGCGGGAGGCGGCGGCCGCGTGCGCGCTGCCGGCCTGCTCTCCCGCGCTGCGCGGCTGCGGCTGGACTCGGCTTCGCGAGGCGCCCTGCTCTCCTCTCCGCGCGTCCGCTCCCCGCCCGCTGCCCGCCCCGGCCTCCTCGTCGCCCCGCCCGTGTCCCCGCGGCCGCGCGGCCCGGCGCGATGGCCCTGTGCAACGGAGACTCCAAGGTCAGTCTCCGCGGGCGGGCGCGGCTCGGGCCCCGCCGCCGCGCGGCTGCTTTGTTGACCGTGCTCGTGTCGGGCCCGCGCCAGCTCTCCGGCGTCGGGACGGGCGTCCGCGGCCTCCCCGGCCTCCGCGGGCCGGCCTCGTCTTCCCGCCGCGCCGCTTCCCGCCTGCTCTCGGCGCGCCTTCCCCCCCGTCCCCGTTAGCACCCCCGGCGGCCCGAGGGTGCCGCGCCCCGCCCCTCCCCGCGCGGGGCCGCCCGGCGGTGGCGGGTCGCCGGCGCTGCTGCCGGCCGCTCCGAGCCCGCCTTGGCGCTCGCTTGGGTCGGTCCCCGCCGGCCGCGCCCTGTCTGGGCGTCCCGGGTCGGCTCTGGCCTCTGCGCCTGGGAAGAGGCTCTGCTCGCAGCCGGGAGCGCGGCTCCTCGGCCGGGGGCGCAGACGCGGGCCGCGTCCGGCGGCGTCTCCTGGGAGCGGGTCTCGGAGCCCCCGGCGCGCTCAGGCGGCGGCCGCGGGGCCGGTGGTCACGAGGGCGAGGCCCGAGGCGCGGCCGGGGCGCCCCCGCCGGGAGCGCAGAGCGCGGCTTTCCGTCCCCGGGCCCGCGCCTCCCGGGCCGGCGGAGGGGCGACTGCGCCCTCGGGCCTCGGGCCTAGGCCGCAGGCTGGGGTGGGTGGTGGTTCGAGGAGAGTTAAGCGATCGGGTTCTAGATTCGGTTCCCCAGCTGTTTTACAAGCGTACAACATACACGTTTTTCCTTAGCTAGTGTTTTTTGTTTTGTTCAACTTGGCTTTTAAAGAGAATCTTGATCGTTTGGTATGTTTGAGCCTCAGGTGAATTCTCATTAACTTATTTTTATTTCAAGGTGCTTTATGTTTCATAGCGTAAGTATGTTGTGTGTGTGTGAGAGACTAGACTGAGAAGTAGATGTGGACCGAATTGGAAGCATTTTCAAGAGGAGCAAGCCAGGGAAGCAACGTTATTTCGTCAACTCTGATTATTTCGTGTACTCTTACGGAGGAAGAAACCCTACAGTTAAACCCTGATGTGTCCTTGATCATAGGAAACTTTTCAGGTAAACATGTTTAGGTATGGAGGAACATGCGTAATGAAGTAGGTGACATAGGTGTTTTCAGGAGGTCCCCCCGAGATCTGAGCAGGTGTCTGTTTCCGTAGCCTGCCGCTGACCCTGCGCTGCCTCCGCCTGGAGGACACGTGCCGGACCCAGCCCGCTTCGCCGTCTGTGGGGCCTGACAGTTGTGCGGAAGCCCCGGTCGTGAGTTAGAGTGGGCAAAGAGCTGATTTTGATTCCTATTCTGGTGTATTTCTATTTTTGTCAGGATTTTCTAAAAGAACATTTTTCCATGATAGAAATTAGGGAGAGGCCTAAAACCTGTAAAAACATTTGGGCTATTTTCATTAGTTTTAGCCCTAGAATATAATGTTAGAGTTGGAAGGGACCTTTGTGTTGTAGCTTCCTAAACTGAAAAAACGTAGCTGGGATTAGGACCCGGCTTTCTTTTTCTTCAGGGCTACTTTGGTTCACCATCCATGGCAAAGGTGGTTTCCTTAGTTAAGGATCTGGTAGACTATTTAGTTAAGATCTTATTTCATATAAATGAGCATAGGCAGTCAACTTTTCTTTAAAAACTTTTTTCAGCTGTTGAGTGTTGTGTTATAAATAGTATGTGTATATGTCAAGTTTTAGACATAGTTACATTTTCCACTTTTATTGAGGATTATCAGAGTAATGTTCTTTGGGCTCCTTGTCAAGTTTTCCTCTTTGGCCCTAAGCTTCAGACTTTGTTGGAGTAGGAACGGGACCTGTCCCACCACCTTTGCTGAGATGTTGACCAGGGTATATCATTCTTAGGTTGAAATTGTTTGATAAAAGTTTACTGATTATTCTGTGATATAGAATCTTTAATGACATCAAAAGTTAAAAATTTAAATTTGCCATTTTTAAATTTAAGTTTTTGAATTGAATGGAAAGATATCCTGAGGTTTTTATCATTGATGCATTGAGAATTAAATGACTATCATTAAAAAGATAACCCTGGGGCCTGGCCCGGTGGTGCAGCGGTTAAGTGCACACGTTCTGCTTTGGCGGCCCCGGGGTTCGCCGGTTCGGATCTCCGGTGTGCACATGGCACTGCTTGGCAAGCCATGCTGTGGTAGGTGTCCCCCATATAAAGTAGAGGAAAGTAGACTTAGCCCAGTCTTCCTCAGCAAAAAGAGGGAGATTGGCAGCAGTTAGCTCAGAGCTAATCTTGCTCAAAAAAAAGATAACCCTGTAGTACCTTGTTGTTCAAAAATCAAAAATGGGTTATTTTTTTTACTTCAGATTGTGTTCCACCTTTTAAGATACTCATCTGAGATGGAAGAGCTGTTGCAGACAGAAGGAATGGTTTTTATTGTTTTCCGTTTTTAGACTTGGAAGGTTTTGAAAGTCCTCCAGGAATGACTTTGCCTTTAGCTTGGGCCAACTTGTCACTTAAGAAAAATAATTGTCTTTTAAGCATTTTTAAAAAGTATAGACGTGTCCTATTCCTTTTCAAATGTGTTTGCTCTTTAATGAATTATATTCCAAGGGATGCTGTTTGAAGTAAAGAAGAATTATTTGCTCTCCACAATAACGCTTTCCTTTGTTATGGTACTTGAACTGTTTTCATGCATCCTTCTAACCTGAACTCTGTTTAGATGCTCAAAATGAATGAAGTCCTCAGGGTTAATAGATAATTCTGAAGCACTTTGTGAATCAACAAGAAAGTAATTGCTTCATAGAATTTTGAATATTTATATAGCAGATATAGTTCTGGGTTATGTAAAATATTTTTTTTCTTTGCTTATTGTGGAACAGAGACGTTTCTGTATTTGCTCAAGAATCACAATGGTTCAAAAAATGGCTTTACTGTAGTAATAATGTCATATTAGTTTCTCGTTGGTGGACCCTTGCCATCACTTCAGATTCATAGTTTTGAGGACCTGGGAGATGCTCCCTAATGTAGCCCATTATAATGTGTTAGGGAATAAGGTGTTTAGTTATAGTCGTGTGACCATATGTTCTCTGTCTAAAGTGGAGCACTTGAGCATAAAAGCAAGTGCTAAAATAACTTAAATTTATAATAATTGCTATAAAATAAAATTTTGAAAACAAAACAGTTGTGGATTTACACAATACAGTAAATAAATAGCAAAACTCCAGTAGCATGAGTGTTCAAATTACTCTCTGTGCATTATGCACAGGAACATACAGCATCTTTTTCCTGCATATATTTCACAAACACCTTACTTAGTTTCCCACTGACCCAGCTGACTGGAGGTTTTGTGCATCTTGCAAGCTGAGGCATGGCTCTGCACAACTGGCAGGCATACCAAGTGGCTGGCAGGGGCAGTAGCTTCAGACATTTCTCCTGTCAACACCCAAGGCTGGATAGAGTTAGCTGCCCCTAGTTGCCCGTGTACTTCATTTATCAGGAAAGGGTCAGGAAAGAGAGGTGGGTTGTCAGTGGTTGGCTTTCAGATTGAACCAGAAGCTAAAGTGAGAACTGTGTTCGTGGCACCTGCATTTCACACAGCAGTGGACAAAGCCATGGCAGAAGATGGAGGGAGAAAGTGAAAGTGTAACAAGCCCATCCTAGCTGACTTGAATGCAGTTACTTATGATATGTTAAAAAAGGAGAAACATGAGACTAACGTTGAGCTAGATGGGATGTGGACACAACAGGTGTAAATTAGGACAATCCTGGGAAAACTGGGCCATATTGTCAGTCTAATTATAGAGCACATATTGTCCTGAGTTTGGATCTTGATTTCTCTAGTGACGTATTCAAAATTGACTAAAATTCAAGTCTAAGATGTATATGATAGAATAATTTTTTCTAAGTTAATAACTGTGCCGAGAGTTATTCTAAAATTCTTAAAAATTGAGTGTCAGATTACTTGTTTTCTAAAAGTTGAGAATCAGCAGTGTTGAAACTGATGGAAAGGTAAAATAATCTGTTCTAATCTGCTGTAACGTTTGCAGAGGATGTTTCCCAAACCTTTAAAGCTGCCTGACCGTGTAAAATTCCCTGTTACTCCTGTTTGTCACTAGAACAGAATCTTTTTATCCCTCAGAACTCATGGAGATCTATGTAAATTTAAAATCACCTTCACTGTGTCTGTTATTTGTGATTAGTTTTAGTAATTGTTTTTCTCTGAGTCTCATTATGAATGTAAATGTAGGACTCCAGAATTGTAAAATTCTGCTTTAGGCAAATTTTGGGTGAACAGTCTCTAACTAATTGGGGAAATTTTATATGAATAAAAATACTTGTAGATACATCATTGTTTTGATATATTATTGGTAATAGTGGAACTCTTTTGTGCTGATTTTTTTCCCCGATTGAAAATTTTATGAAAGTTTTCAGACAGACGTTGGAAGAAATTTTAGTCGACATCTGTGTTCACTACGTAGACTGCCATTCACTTTTCTTATAAATTATTTTTATAACATTGATATAATTCACATACTGTAAAATTTGTCCATTTAAAGAGCATAGTTCAATGGTTTTTTGTATATTCACAGATTTGTACAGTCTGTTTTAGAACATTCTCATCACCCCCAAAAGAAGTCCTTTAGCAATCAGTTCTCATTTCCTCCCAGCTGCCTCTCCCTCAACTGTAGGCAACCACTAATCTATTTTCTTTCTCTATAGATTTGCCTATTTTGGTCATTTTTTATCACTAGAATCTTAAAATATGTAGTCTTTTGTGACTGGCTTATTTAGCATAATACTTTCAAATTTCTTTCATCTTGTAGCATGTTTAAGTACCTTATTCCTTTTTATTTCTTTTTACTGTCAAATAATATTCCCTTGTATGCATATACCACGTTTTATTTATCTGTTCATCAGTTGATGGCCGTTGGGTTGTTGGTGATCTTTGGATATTATAGATAATGCTGCTGTGAATATTCCTGTACAAGTTTTTGCGTAGACTTAAGTTTTCGTTTTTCTTGGGTACGTGCCTAGGAGTGGAATTGCTGGGTCGTGTAGTGATTCTGTGTTAGCCTTTTGGTGAACTGTGGGGACTGTTTTTCAAAGTGGCTGCAGTATTGCATTTCCGTCAACAGTGTGTGAGGTTCCAGTTTCTCGGCATCCTTGTCGACACTTGTATTTTTGATTATAGCTGTCGTAATGGATGCAAAATGGTCTCTCATTGTGGTTTTGACTTGCATTTCCCTAATGACGATGGTAATGAGCATCTTTTCCTGTGCTTATTGGCCATTTTTATATTTTCTTGGAGAAATGTCTGTTCAGATCACCCATTTTGAAGGTGGTTTGTCTTTTTTATTGCGTTTGTAAGAGTTATTTAGTGACAAGTCTCTTAAGAGAAATATGATTTGCAGATATTTTCTGCCATTCTGTGGGGTTCTTTTTACTTTCTTAATGATGTTCTCTGATGTATAAAAGCTTTTAATTTTGATGAAGTTCAGTTTATTTATTCTCTTGTTGCTTGTGCTTTCAGTGTCATCTAAGAAACATTTCCTAATTCAAGATTATGAAGATTTGTATAATTGCCTATATTGCTTCTAAAAGTTTCATAGTTTTAGCTCTTATGTTTAGATCTTTGATCCATTTGGAGATAATTTTTGTATATGCTGTAAGGTTAGGTACCAGTTTTCATTCTTTTGTTTGTGACTGTTCAGTACCACTTTTTGAAAAAACTATTCTTTCTCTTTTGAATGTCCTTGTTGGAAGTAATTGACCGTGTATTTTTGGATTCTCAATTCTGTTCCATTGATCTGTATGTCTGTCCTTATGCCAATATCACATTGTCTTGATTTTGTAACTTTGTAATAAGTTTTTAAATTGGGACATGTGAGTCCTCCAACTTTGTTCTTTTTTTTTCCAAGTAGTTTTGGCTATTCTGAGTCCCTTGAAATTCTATATGAATTTCAGAATAAGCTTATCAGTTGCTGCCAAGAAGCCAGCTAGGATTTTGATAGAGATTGTGTTGAATACATGGATCAGTATAGGGAGTGGTACTGTCTTAACAATATTAAGTTTTCTGACCCACACGTAGGATGTT